AAAAAGAAAAGCTGGAGGAAGGAGAAGCCGAGGAAGAAGACGAGGGTATATCAGTAATTAAAAGTAAAAAATTTAACATGTCATTAATTTGCCACATGGATTTTCCACGTAATTTAATAAAAAAAAAATAAATGTTTCCGTTAATTAACGTGACAAGTCAGCAAAATTTTAACGGAGGGACTAAAAAGGGGCCGGATTTGTGAACAGTAAGGACCAAAAAAGGGATTTTTTCGGTACAGGGACCAAAAAGGGGCTTTTTCCTATAGTAGAGGGACCAAAAGGGTATTTAACCAATATAATATCATTGAAATCTTCTTCTTCTTCTTCTTCTTTTCAGACAGTAAATGGTCTGAAAACATAGATTAAAGCAACTCCCCTCCCGGTGACATGACATTTCTTGAACTGTTGCCTTTTTTTAGAAAATATCATCTGCACAGATCTGAGTCATATGACTCCTTTTTTTTCTTTTTTTTTTGGTTGTTATTACTATTTTCCAGACCAGACCATTAACGGTCTGGAAAGAGTCTACACGATTGTTCGATTTTTTTTTTTTTCTTTTTACCGACTTTGGGTTCAAGTTGGCAAATATCCTCCCTAAGCCCCTCAACGTTTTGAACAGAATGTTACAAGCCCCTGAACAAAAAAAGTAGCAAATAAGCCCTCCAATCTCACGTTTTGTGCAGATCAACCCCTTTGCTAACTGATTTTGTGATGCTGTTTGTCATTGGCTTGCGTGGCATTGTGCTTGCATGCATTTGCATCTTTTTTTGGCCTTTGCTTCATTTGTTTTTAATAATAATATATATTTTTTAATTATTTAGATGATAATATATAATATACGTATTCTTAAGTGATATTATTTTACTAAAAAGTGATATATTTTTATTTTAGTTAATAATAATTTTAGTTTAATAATTTTTATAAATTATTTTTTAATTTTAATTAAACTACGTATCCTTAAGGAACATGTTTAAAATTTTTTTATTAATTAGATATTTTAATTAAATTTAAATGGTAATTTATAAAGATTATATATTGAAATAAAATCTATTATTAGTTAAAATAAAACAGTATATCATTATTTTATTAAAAAAATTATCACTTGAGGATAAGTATATTATATAATATTAATTAATTAATTTAAAAAATTGATTAATTAAAAAATATATTATTACTAAAAATAAAATGAAGTAAAGTAAAAAAATGCGAAGGCGTGTAAGGGCAAAAAAGAAAAGGAAAAACCAAACATGGGGTTGGAGGGCTTATTTGCCACCTTTTTAATTTAGGGGCTTGTCAGTTGCTGCCAAAAAAGTTGTGGGGCTTAAGAAAGGGTTTGCCTTTCAAGTTTCTTGCCAATTTCCTTGACTGGTAAATTTTGTACATAAGGACAAACGTGACCGCTGATGTTAGTTTTGCTAATGTTAGGTAAATAAAATCACTGGTAAATTTATGTGTATATATATATGTATAAATAAATAAAATAAAATAAAAAACTATTCATCATATAATAAATAAAATATTAATGTAATATGAACTACAACAAAATTGTATTAAGAATGAATTACTTGCAAATAAGAAAGTAAAGTTTTTAAGAAAGGTAATCAAAATTAGACCATAAAAAATTTAAGCGACTAATAGTGATTTAGTCTAGAACTCCACCTCCTAAAATACCTCTATTTTCTTCATTTAAGTTGTATTTTTCGAAATTTTAAGTTGTTGGGGTTAGACACAATTTGATCTACGTGGGAGTTGATTCTACTGCGATTATTCAGCCCAAAATCGGTCTGAATAATTATTTAAGACCGTCTCTAGTCCAAATTAATCAAAACATCCAAAACCTTCCCATCCTCAATCACTTTTCATTTTTCTATTTCAATAGGTGACTCATTTCCTATAACATGATTTTACTAATTAAAGCTCACTACCAATTCCCCAAGCCAAACAAGGGGTTCTAACCATATTATTCAGGCCATCTTCGGTCCCAATAACTTGATACATTTTGTTTTCCCCCTTTTCTGCTAATGAAATGGCCCGCGGCTATGTTTTCCGATATGTTAATCAGACTGTTTTCTGAGTAATAAAGCGGGAAATGAAAGTTTCTAGCAATATTCAGACCGATAATGGTCTGAAATACTGCCGTCAAATTTTGGAATTTCTACTTCAGACTGTTTATAGTCTGAAATAGTTCCACCTATTTAAGGCACCACTGTGCCTTGTTCCTCAAATTAGTTGTATTTTATTTTCTTCGGTTTGGCCTGTCCCGCTTTCTATTCTGTGCATTCTCTTCTTGCTTCCCTTCCTTTTGCTTTTCTTCTTTTATCTCTTCTTGCTTCCCTTCCTTTTGCTTTTCTTCTTTTATCTCTTCTTGCTTCGCTTCCTTTTTCTTTTCTTCTTTTCATCATTTCTTCTTGCAACTTGCCTTTTTTTTTTTTTTTTGGCGTTTTTGTGGGTTCTTATGAATTGTATCTTGGGTGAATCCTAAACATATTTTCATGATGTATTTATATTTAATTTTTATGTTTTCTTATTTTCCATTTTCAAGCTACTATTACCACTCTTCTTTTTCTTTCTTTTTTTAGAAAATGATGAAAATAAGAATCTAAAATGGTAAATCTACTAATCTTTTTTTTTTGTAGGAAATTCTCAAAGTTGCACAGTGAAATTGGAAAAATAAATTGATAATTAATAAATTTTCTTTTGATGTAAAATTTGTTGTTTATATTTATTATACTAAAAATTAAATTTATATCTCTTATTTAGCTGTAAATGTTTATGTGATTTGTAATACTTATATACCTTAACTTTTTGTTATTTATTTAATTTTCATAATTTTATTAAATATTTCAATTTTATGTAATTT